ACGACTCCCTCCCCCGACAACAACAACACCTTGACGACTCCCTCCCCCGACGACGACGACAACTTAATTCCAGGAAATCTTCTCCTGGGGTCACACAAAGTCTGAGGCACAAAATGGAGTCACACTGAGCCAAACTGTGGGAGGTCTGCTCCATTATAACCCTCACATGTACAATTATACTAAAAGTGTTGTCAAGAATCACCCTAACTCTTACCAACTTTACAATGATTTTTGGAACATCTACAAACAAGAATATCCATTATTTCATACACCTCTCTATAGTTTTGACCTCCTTTTGTTTTTTGTCAGCTCTCTGAGTTGAAATTAAGACCAGAAACTGCTGAACATTTGCACAGTGTCTGTGGACGGAATAGTTCAAGATGGTGACCTTTCATCAGCGACATGGGTCTCCTTTGTGGCAAAAATGCCACTGGGGATTAATGTTTATCAACAATGAAAGCAGGCCTGAGGAAAGGTCAAAGGTTGTGCCAGTTTTTAAACCCAAAGCAGAGACAGAAACCAAGACTTCAAACATCTTGGAAAACACGCTCTGCTTCCCCACCTGACTGATCCAGTCAAAGGTACCAAATCCAGCCAGAAAAGATGTTCCTTAGTGCCTTGCTAAGTAGTTTGATAGCAATGTGAAGAATAAATGATTGAGTTCAGTGCTCTTGGTGTTACAGGCCAACTCGGAGAAGTTGTGCAGAACGTATGAAGATCAACTAAATGAAGCAAATACCAAAGTTGGAGAACTTCAGCGACAAGTGGCGGATCTAGCTTCACACAAAGCCAAACTGCAGAGTCAGAACGGTATGGAACAGAGATCAGGAGGGAGTGGGGGTGGGGGATGTTGGAAAAGGGAGAGGGAGGGCAGAACAGAGACAGGCAGAGTGAACTGGTGAGTGGAGAGGTAAGTGGGATTTTAGCCCTCATTTTATCTCCGTTCATTTCCCTCAGTTCAGGTGGATGTGGGGAGCACAGGAGGTTGGAGTCAGAGAGGCAAAGTATTTGGGAAAGAGAATGAGGGGGAGGAGCCTGCAGGAAGTTACGGTGATGAGGGAGTTGATGCCACATATACAGCAGGAAATGGGCAGTGGTGGAGAGTGGCTCTGTGGTCAGTGCAGGGCATTGGAGACGGATTCCAGGAACAGAAAGAATGGCCGCTAGGATGATTTGTCTATTTAGCCCAGATTCCTCTTTCTGCTTCATTGCCCTGGTGAGAAATCCCTGGTTAGAATCTGGTAAAAATCCCATTTACGCCCCAGTGTTATTGGCACACTTACATCCCTGAATTAGTTCCTCTCCTTGTTCAGTAAACAGTTAAAATTGTTAATGGTGGGGAGCTGCTAGGGCAGGAGGGAGATGGCAACGCTGGGATGGAACAGGAAGATAGGCCCTTGACCTTGACAGGAATGGACTGAACAGGGCCTGGGGAGTGAACTCCCTCCCTCCCCCTGGATTCTCACAGCTCACCATCTCCCCTCCCTCCACCCTGACCTCCCACTTCCCAGGAGATCTCATCGGGCCAGGAGAATGAATTTTCACATGACTGTTTCTACTTCATCTCAATAACATCAAGTAAGTAGTGACCATGACCCCACCTCCAGAGAAGTTGGGGGTGGGGGCTGGTGTCGGAATCTCTGTACTACGGGGAGTATTTCTACAACAGTCATTGTAACATGTCCCGACAAGAGATGGGGTCATAAGAGAGAGAAAGGGGGATATTTAAGCCCTGATTTATGACAGGTGTAAATGTTTCTAAGATTGTTCTATGATCACCATCAGGGGAGTACAGCAGGCAACTGGAAGAAAAGGAAGCTCTCATTAACCAGTTAAGCCGTGGCAAGGTGTCCTTCACACAAAGTATTGAAGAGTTGAGAAGACAACTGGAAGAAGAGACCAAAGTACGTAACATCTTCACCTCTTTATTTCAGAAAGATACTCCACAAGAACTCAATCAGTGAAAAAGGACATTGTGACTGAAATTAAGACAGGTTTCCAAAAACCTGGTCAAAGAAACAGGTTTTATGAAAAGTCTTAAAGGAAGAAAGCAAGGTAGAGATGTGGAAAAGTCTAGGGAGGAAATTCCAGAGCCTGGGGTCCAGGGAGTTGAAAGCACAGCATTTAGTGATGAAGCAAATGGAGTAGCCAATGGACAAGGGGCCAAAGAAACAGTTTACAGAGGGCTGTGGGCTGCAGAAGTTCGTAGAGATGGTGAGGATGCAGCAATGGAGAGATTGGATATTGAGAATTGAAATACTGCTCAGTCAGCTGCTAAAGTAGATCAAAATCCATCGGGTGGTGGGGTGATAGGGGAATGGGACTTGGGATGATCTGGGCATGGGGAGAAGAGAGAATATTACAGACCTGGAGAAAGGTGGCCTTAATGATAGAGAGGAAATAGGGTCAGCTGCTCAGTTTGGGGCCAAACATTGAGGGAAATCTGGTTTGGCGTTTAACTGTGACCAGGGAAAAGGACGGAGTGGTAGCTTGAGATTTGAGTTTATGGTGACACTGAAGACAATGGCTTCAGCTGTATCTTTTTGAAGAAAAGTTCTGCTTATCCAGAGCATCATAATGTAAGACAGTGGAGGAATGAGGGAGGTGGTGATGTGGGAATTGTCAATGTAGATGTGAAAACTGTCACTGGATTTAAATGATGGCACTGCAGAGCAGAATGTGGATGAGAAACAGGAAGAGAAATCATTTTATTCTCTGGTTACAATTGGACAGAGAAGAATGGAATAGATTTGTAGATTGGGTTGTGGACGTTGAGGTTGGTTGGCTCACCGAGCTGGTTTGTAATTCCACAGACGTTTCATTACCCTGCTGGGTAACATCATCAGTGCAGCCCCTGATGAAGTGCTGTTGTGTTTTCCCGCCTGTTATTTAAACTCTGGTGTCCGTTGAGCTGGATTACCTCACTTGCGGTTTTCCTTCGTAATGGAGTGTATACGGGGTCGAGTTCTATGTGTTTGTTGATGGCTTTCTTTGTGGCATACCAGGCTTCTAGGAATTCCCGTGCTTGTTTCTGCTTTGCTTGTCCCAGGATCCTGGTGTTGTCCCAGTCGAATTGGTGGTTCTCCTTATCCTTGTGGATGGAGATGAGTGAGTATTAATTGTGTCTTTTTGTAGCCAATTGATGCTCGTGTACCCTTGTTGTTAATTTCCTTCCTGTTTGTCCGATGTAGTGTTTGTCACAGTCTCTGCAGGGAATCTTGTTTATGACATTGGTCCTGTCCATAGTGGGTAGTGGGTCTTTGGTTCGGGTGAGTAGTTGGCGTAGGGTTGATGTGGGTTTGTGTGTTACCCTGATGCCCAGTGGTCGTAGGAGTCTTGTGGTCAGTTCAGATGTGTTCCTGATGTAAGGTAGCGTGATGAGTGTGTCGGGGTGTGTAGTATCCTCCTGGTGTCGTTCGTGTAATAGGCATCTTCTGACCCAGTTTTTCGGGTATCCATTATCTTTGAATACCTGGGTCAGAAGATGCCTAATACACAAACAACACCAGGAAGATACTACATGCCCCGAAACACTCATCACGCTACCTTTACATTAGGAACACGTCTAAACTGACCACAAGACTCCTACGATCATTGGGCATCAGAGTAGCACACAAACCCACATCAACCCTACGCCAACTACTCACCCAAACCAAAGACCCACTATCCAGTATGGACAGGACCAATGTCATATACAAGATTCCCTGCACAGACTGTGACAAACACTACATCGGACAAAGATGAAGGAAATTAACAAGGGTACACAAACATCAATTGGCTACAAAAAGTCATGACCAATACTCACTATCTCCATCCACATGGACAAGGAGAACCACCAATTCGACTGGGACAACACCAGGATCCTGGCACAAGCTAAGCAGAGACAGTCACAGGAGTTCCTGGAAACCTGGTACTCCATGAAGATAGCCATCAATAAACACACAGAGCTCGACCCCATATACACCCCACTACGAAGGAAAACCGGAAGTGAGGTAATCCAGCTCAACGGACACCAGAGTTTAAATAACAACACGCGGGAAAACACAACGGCCCTTCATCGGAGGCTGCACTGATGATGTTATCCAGCAGGGTAATGAAACGTCTGTGGAACAACAAACCAGCTCGGCGAGCCAACCAACCTCAACAGAGAGGAATGGAACTGGGTGAGAGCACTTCCCTACAGCTGGGCGACAGGGAGATGCTGGAGGATAATGGTGTGGTCAACCATCAAAGACTGAAGATGGGTGATATTCTAGCAGTATTTTAAACACATTTTTAAGAAGAGTTACGACATGGGCTTTGAAATTATACATTGTTTGCTAACATGCAGATGAGGAACAAGCTGCAGGTCTTCCGTGTAGACAGTGCAATGGCCTGGGAGAAAGAGAACTGGGTTCCTGGAGAAGGCAAGCATAAAGAAAACATGAAATGAGAAAGCTGAAGGTTCTAGACTAATGCATAGGGGGTACTTACTGGATATTCTGTCAGCTTAAAGCAAGCCACTCTGTTCAAGGGCAGTTAGGAACAGACAATAAATACAGGTCATGCCCTCAATACTCACAAAAGAAGAATTTGAAAAAAGGTTGGATATAGGGAGGAAAGTGGCAGAGCCAGTGGAATGGATTATTGTAGCCGTAGCAGCTAAGAAGGCCAAAAGTTTGTTGTTGAAGACAAGTTGAAGGAGGGAAGAATACTCAACAACATGGAGTAATTCTGGCATCATCTCCGGAGACAAGAGCAGTAGTGCTTCAGAATCTAAACCTGAAGAAGTTTCATACCAGAAATAAAACATTAACTCTGTCTGTCTCTCTCTCTATGGATGCTGCTGGATCTGCTGAGTTTCTCCAGCATTCTTTGTGTTTGTTTCAGAATTCTAGCACCTACAGGATTTTGCTTTCTTAGCAGGCATCTTTGCTCTTTAGTATGTTCCCGATGTACTGTCAGATTTGGCAGAGGACAGCATGGCCTAATGGCACTTGCTGTATTCTAGCCAGATCTACCGAGGAAAAGCTAAATAAGGTCTCCATCAGATATGTAGCTCTTCCAAATAAGGGCGTTTTGTTTAATTTATTCATGGGGTATGCATGTCAGTGGCTGAGTCAGAATTTATTACCAATCCCTAATTGCCCATACGATAGTTGAGGATTGACTTCATTGCTGTGGGTCTATAGTAACATGTCGGCCAGACCAGGTAAGGAGAACAATTTCCCTCCTTACAGGACATTAACAAATCAGATGGGTTTTTCCAACAATCAACAACAATTTCATAGTCATCAATAGACCCTTCATTCCAGATTTTCTTGGAATTTGAACCTGGGTCTGTAGATTAGTAGTCACGTGAAAATGCCAGTATGTCACTGTCTCCTCCGAAAGTGACGAGAGGGCACTGTGCAGGGGAAAAAGGGAATGGAGAAGAGTGGAGCCTTTACTCAGCAGAAAGGTACATTGACTGACTGATGTAGTATCCTGGCAGATGGTTAAAGAAGGACCATCTCCAGATCACTTCAAATTCTCCACTTATTTCCTGAAAACAGACAATTAATTGGGCAATATTCCCCAGGTTGGCAGGCAAGTTTTGTAAACTTGGCTTAATTCCAAGGTGCCCCGACAATGAACTTTGAGTGGTGACCCAAAGTGTGAGGTGGCTGGGACCCACTCCATCCTCATTCACAAACTACACAGTCTCACTTCAACTGGGAGTTGCAGAGTAATGCTCAGGACTAGGATCACTGGTCAGTTTGTCCTCTTTGCAATCCAGTGGCTATGCTGAGGGAGCAGTGGATCAGCTCTTGATCTTTAAAACAGTACCAGTCCAGTGACATAAGCACTAAGCTTCCAGGAAAGGTGATTAGTTTATACTCTCTTTGGTTTCAAGGCCACCTTAGCTTCAATAAGTCATGGTGTAATGAACAAACCAGAATTATAGGACAGACCATAATAATTCATTGTTTGTGCTTCCGTCAAAGTCCAAGAATGCTCTCGCTCATGCTCTGCATGCTTCACGACACGACTGTGACCTTCTGAGAGAACAGTATGAGGAGGAACAAGAGGCAAAGGCTGAACTACAGAGGGCGCTGTCCAAGGCAAATGCTGAGGTGGCCCAATGGCGTAACAAATATGAAACCGATGCAATCCAGAGGACAGAGGAACTGGAAGAAGCCAAGTATGTATAGTGACAATCTTTAACATGGATCAGGAACACTTCAAATTACTTCATATATATATAATCAAGATAGGAAAGGGAATGAGGCTGTTTGGCCCATCGTACATGTGCAGGCTCTTTGAGAGAGCAAACTCCAACCCCCATTTATGCCCATAGTCTGCCAATACTTCTCCTTCAACTATTTATCCAATTCTAATTTGAGAGAAATGGCTGAATCTGCTGCCATTTCCCTTTCAGGCAGCATGCTGTAAAATAAAATCTCAAGCCCTGCCATGTTCCTTTACCAGTCACTTTGAGGAACTTGTATTTCTCTGGTTCCAGGCTCTCCTCCAATAGAAACCCTTTCTCCCTAATCACCCAGTCAATAACCTGCATAGTTTTCAACAGCTCAGACAAACTCCTCCTAAATGTGCTTTTAAAGCAGAGTATTTCAGTATTTCAGAGTCTCCCTGCCATGGAAATCCTTTCATTGCTGGTATTCTTCCAATAAACTCCCTCCAAACTTTCTCTGTTCACGATGACATGCTTCACAGTGATTGTTATTTTTCTAGGACCATAGTTACACCGTGACCTGAAAACAGAAAATTAAAAGTTTACTTTGAATTCCGTGCAGCTTGAGTTAAAATGATTGAATGATTTAAACACTGTATCTCCTAACACGGACTGAACTCCTCAATGTATAGACAGTGTAGAGGGAGCTTTACTCCGTGTCTAAGCCTGTGTTGTCCCTGTCCCTGGGAGTGTTTGATGGGTCACTGTCTGCCTGAATTGAGTAATGTTCCTGAGGAACTGATTAGATTTTGCTGGATTTTTTGATAAAAGGAAGAAGTTGGCGATTCGTCTCCAAGAAGCAGAGGAGTCTGTGGAAGCAGTAAACGCCAAATGCTCCTCACTGGACAAGACAAAACATCGGCTGCAGACAGAAATTGAGGACTTGACGATCGACCTGGAGAGAGCAAACTCAGCTGCTCTGGCTTTTGACAAGAAGCAACGAAACTTTGACAAGATGATCGCTGACTGGAAGCAGAAATTTGAGGAGGCTCAGGCTGAACTGGAGGCATCACAGAAGGAAGCTCGTAGCCTGAGCACTGAGCTCTTTAAACTGAAGAATGCCTATGAGGAGTCACTGGACCACTTGGAGACTCTCAAACGAGAGAACAAGAACCTTCAAGGTATATTAATGTTTAATTGTCCACACCTGAGACACAGCCCCTATACCTCAGTTTCTATAGACCTCACTGCACCTACCATTCCCACAAGGCAATGGGCATCTGGAGGCCAAGAACAGGAGAAGTTTTTGGGTGAAATTTGGGCATTAGACACCAGTTTCGGTGTTTCCTTTAGATTAGGAAGATATAATTACAGTTTGGCAATTACATTGGGCTTGCCATTTGAACCTGGATGCAAGAACGGATAACAGAAAAACAGACAAAATTAGACAGCAACAAGGAGCAGGATTCCATTGCAGGGCATGTAAACAGATGTAAGTTTTAATTAATTTAAATTGTCAAATGTAAACCAACTGTTCTTAAATAATTGGCAGAAAACAATTCTTATTCAGTTCTTCGTTCCATTTGTGAAAGGCAAAGCATCAGTCCTTGTATTAATGAAATAATTTATACAGATCGATATTTTAAAATCACTCAACAGTCCTAAGGGAACGCCGCACTGTCGGAGGGTCAGCGCTGAGGGAGTGCTGCATCTTCAGGAACAATACTCTGTGTGATGCTTGCTTAATACTTCTTCCTTCATAATGTGGGACCCTCTAGGTCCAGCAGCTTGGTACAACAGTGTTCTTTCACTGGCAAATCACTGAATGGGTTGGTCTTGGTTTTGGGCTGTTATCTCTGAAGTGGACCTAGAACTGATATCATTGCTGAGGGAATCAAGGCAGATTAAATTCTGTTTCTTCTTGTGACAGATGAGATCACAGACCTGACTGACCAGATCAGTGAAGGAACTAAAACCGTCCATGAGCTGGAGAAAGTGAAGAAGAACCTGGAACAGGAGAAGAGCGAGGTGCAGGGTGCATTGGCAGAGGCAGAGGTAGGTGCAAGCCTGAGCTGCTGGTATAAAAGGAGAAAGTGCTCAACACTGCCTCGTGTATGGGACTGAATCTCAAATCTGGGACTTGAGGACAATCACAGGTCAGAGCGCTGTGAATTGAGATTGTGGAGACTGATGGAGTAGGTCAATTAGAGACAAATGAGCAAAGAAGTCAAGATGGCAGCGGGAAAGATTGTTGGTGAATATCATCAAGAAAGGCAAATACCGGATTGCCCACTTCCTAAGGAATGGGAGGCGGCTGAAGGGAAGGTCGGTAGGAAGATCAGAGACATGGAGACCAAGAGGGAGAAAACAATGCTCATTGTCAGGCACATTTTAAAGACACCGTTTAGAGCAAACATCACCTTCCCTCACAGAAAACAGGGCAACAACAAACAAATTGCGACAAATTAACCTTTTATTGTTAAAGCTTTACAGAATTTCTCACAGTTTCTCACAACTGACCAATGTGTTTACTCACTATGTATTGCTACCAAAGTCTAAATTTAGGTTTAGGATGATATATAAAAAGTGATCTACTGATACACAGATCCCTCTGCTCGTTTTTCCATGATGCACTGTCATGCATTTTCCATTGAAGTAAACCTTTCTCTACAT